CCCCCCCCCCCATACACAATCCCATAGAAAAAACTTTGGTGAGGGTAGACACATGTAAGGATGAACAGGTCGACAAAAGCCAATCCAGAAAAAGCCATTTAGCCCTGCTTTGTTGCCAACACTAAAAGAAAACCAAAATTAGAAAATTAAATTTGAGTTTCTTGTTCTGACCAAAAAAGAAAAAGTAAAAGATTTTTATGTAAAATCTATTTTGTGGTTGTACCACATGCACCTGTCAACTGTGTCCTATTGAGGTTACAACAAAATTTTCAACACTTAGTAGTCATCAGGTAAAAATACTTACTGACTGAGTTTGGTCAAGGAGAAGGAAAAATATTATTTAGTTCTTGTCATGACCCTCAGACCTTGTACTCCTGTTCAGTCATTAATTGCATATTATCCAAATATATACTTTCAGTTTGTTTACTACAGATTACATCAGTGTCCTTGTTCACATAAATGGTAAAAAGTTTAAGGTTAGAAAGAAATAAATGGAAGAGTGAGAAATAATTCTTTATTTAAGAATCTTTACTTCCTCTCATTGATTAAATAGTTGAAATCCAAGATTTATCTTAGTTTCTGTTTCCAACATTCCCATCTAATCTAATCACTAAAACCGAAGGTAAAGATCAATCTTCAAAAAACACCATATTTTCCAACCAAAATATATTGAAGTTGGCCCAGTCTAGACACCACAATTTTCATAAGCAGAACTTAATTTGAATTTGAACCTGCTGACCTTTAAAAACATACAGACTATAATTCAATTTTCCCTTACTCACACTTTTTCAAACAGATCTACAATTCAAAGATATCACATGAAACATGATTGACAATATTTGAACTACACAGAACATATTGTACACTTTTCCATAATGTGATCCAAGATTATGATCACTAAATTCTTGAATGAATAGGGATTAACTTTGGATAACATCCGCTCTGTATTTACTACTCATTTTCATAAATTTAATTTTGCACAGAGGAATCCATAACCCTCTTTTAAAATTCCAAATCTAAAAATTTTGCCACCCAGGATGTAGTTGTGAACATAACAGGTGTTGCTCACAGGAAAACATTGTTTTAACTATTAGTATTAATTACAGGAAGCAGCAATATTTCACAGGAACAGAATGTGATGGAACTTCTAAGAAAATTGGAAAGGATCTTCAGCACACCAATCAAGTTGTGATGAAATTATCATGAAAACAATGATTCAAAATTCCATATTCCAAGATTAAAATTTAAATTATTATCCTTATGTGGGTAGTAATTTTTTTTTTAGTAAGAACTCAGTAGAGAAAAATTTCCCAGAACTGTTTATGGTAATTTCATATACAAAAATATTTGAAAAATAGTGAAAGATTGTAATCAAATGTTAATCAGAAAATGAAAATCTCTAACATAAATTCACTTCCATCAAAACACTTCATTGGAAAAAAGTTGTATATAAAGTCACACCTAAAACAAAACAATTGATATGTTTACATGCCTTGAAGCCACATATTAGCTTCACCATTATCAGAGAAATTAAAAATTTATTCCCTGACTAAGATAGAGGAAAAAAATTATCTCTTACGAATTTAGTATGCATTGCAGACACCACTTGAGAGTATATTTACAATTTACATATTCAAGATTTCCATGCAAATAAGAAAGAATTAAGAAGAGGCAGGCTTAAGTCAAACAATACAAACTAATTTTATAAGCTCTGTTGTATCTTAACACTGCGCCCGTGTAAAGTAGGTATTTCACCCTCAGCTGTATCTCTGTTTGATTTCTGATCCAAACCGAAAAAATAAAATTCAAAATTTACACTAAGATATCAAAAGTGCTTCATTAGAAATACCGAAAATTTCAGCTGAGATTCATTAATCTACACCTTTTCAAGGTAGATTTAACAAATCACCAAGCAATAAAAAATTAGAGTCGATGGAACACCTATACCACAAACAGGGTGATAAATTAAAATTTCAAAAACCCTTTTGAGCTTATTTCTGCACATCTGCTCCCTAAATGCATGCAGGGACTCCTGTTACAAATAATAAAAATTTGTACCTCATTTTTTTTCCACTTTCAGGTGGATGCGAGCGAAAATTACTGGCGAGATCTAAGTTTTTCTTTTCATAATCAAAGCAATGAGTAAAACCTTAGTTCACGATTATCAACCAACGTCGCAAAATGAGTACACCAGAATTCCCATGTAAGTCGAGCGAAAGAAGCGAACCACGAACTATGCTATTTCGTTCAAGGATAATCAGCAGTTTGCATCGAATTCGACAAGGTATATACAATATTGTGAGGGAAAAAATATTTCTCAGAAGACTTACAGAAGAGCAGAAGAAAATATGTTTTGAGTTCAATATTGTGATCGCACGCCTAAATTACAGGTTGACAGGAATATTCTTCATTGCACAGCTGTGTTCATTCCAAATTTTGTGTTCATTTCAGTCTCGAGCAAAGTGTGAACAGTACAAGTAAATCTAAACCTATCAAAACTCCATTCAAGGAGATGACTGTTACCTTACAACACCGAAAAAGAAAAAGTAGTAAAGTTAACTACAGCATTAGTATTAAATTAAATGTAAAGGTTTAGGACGCGCGTGCTGTAAGTCAGGAATTCTACTGACGCGCCATAGATCACTTGGAGACAAAAATACCTTCGGTAACAAAAATATCAACAGGTTAATTGTTAATGAAAGCGATACATACTGGTGTTTATCTTCAGACTTGTTCCTCAAAATGCCTTTTTTAGGTTGATTGGCGTCCTCCTCCATATTCAACTATTTCTCCGCTAACAAATTGTGACTCTGACCCAGACTTTTGCCGGATATAGCCCAACGTTCGGGATACGGGATAACCTGCGGGAAACCACTAAGGGGAGGGAGTGGGTAAAAATAGCGGCAGTACAATACAAGATTTCAACAACTGTAGTTAGAATTCTTTCCTACTTTTCTAAGTATAGTGTATGTTTTTCAAAGAAAAATGGAATGGGCAAGATTTTGCTTGCGTAATTGATGGGTTTAAAGCGTCAAGCAAGCGCAACTGTGAAAACGAGCGGCGAAAGCGCAACTCCGGGAGAGATATGGGAGAAAACGAGAGGGGCGTCACAGCCACACCTCCGCTCCTCGTTTTTGGAGCTCCGCCGACTTCATTTTTCATCGAGCGTCCAAGAAACCGCTAGCCTTACAAGCTTGGGAAAATGGGAACTGGACTTGAGCTATTTTTGTTCCCGAGAAAATGAGATCTGGCTCACAAGGATGGGAATCAAAAACGCAAAAAGGGAACAAGGCCGGGATTTAGAAGCAATTGTGGTCTATCCACTACCATCTTAAACATCACAGTTAACCAAGAGGGAACATCTTTCAGTAATGGTCAACTTCATTCCTGGGGCTTTTGGCTTAAAAATTGGAAGAAGATGAGAAAAGTCCTAGGAATGAGGTTGGTTACCCCACTTAAACTAAAGATTGCTTATGAGGTCCATTTGTCTAGGCAAGGGAGGTCCTTACATTGTCACATTCAAATTTCCAATTGCCAAAGCCTAACATTGTGCAAGGGAAACTCTTGCAACACAAGAGCCACAGGGAGGGCAGGAAGTAAGAATCAGCCCCTGTTAATTATAAAGGTCACAATGAATTCAAAGGCAACAATGAGTTGACTGGCAACAAAAGTTGACTGTTTAATCTATTAAAAAAGAATAGTTGAAGCCTTGTAATCTACTGACTTGTTAGGATACTAACACCATATGACAGTTCTACTATTATGCTTGCCTAGCTTATGGTAAGGATGGTAGGAATCTTCAAAATATATAGAGAGACAGGAAAACTGTGAAACCACAAGGTAAAGCTACAAGACAAGACACTCATCGATTTTTCTTCTCACAGGTTCCCAGCTCATTTTTCCATCTCATACCTAAAATGACCCATTATGCCGACAGCAGTGTAAAGTTAAACACTATACATTACAATAGCTGATGTGTTGTACAACTTGTATTGGAAGAGTTGAGAAGTTATGAAATTATCAATCAAATGCCTGCAAGAAAGAGAGATAGAAAACCAATATGATGATCCATTTGTCAAGGAAACACAGGCTTGCAACCATGAAATCCATAGACATTGACATTCCTTTACAAGAGAGTTGTTTTAGAATCATTTTTGAAGAGTCAAATGTAGAATTTATTCTTACACAATGCTCTGTTCATAACAAAACTCTAAACATACAAACTCTAAACCTGCCCTTGATAGTAGGGGCACTATCCCAGAGGTGCCATTGAGACAAACTGTGCTCTCCAGAATTACACTAGATCTCTTTTATTGGGGATGTGCAAAAAAAAAAAATTGTCTAAATCTGTACTCTCCAGAAAAAGAATACCCCTTTGCCAAAAACTCACCAATCTAAAGTTTCTTTCCTGTTCTTTTCTCCTTGTTTCACTGAGGCGAGAAATCTCTTCAACCTTTCTCTGAAGGATTCCTACAGGAAAAAGAAGCTTATTATGGGTAATTCATAACTTCGACCCAACACTTCAAAATGACTTTTGGCACTTGAGAAAGGAAAACTCTGGGAAAATACCATTAATTGATGAGTTACATAAAAATTAGTGTGTGTGAGTCAGTTGATTAACCATCAGTGAAGTGATTAAGTTTATCAATCAGTCAAACAGTAAATCAGTCAGAGAAAACAAAACTCAGTCCCTCACAAGAAAAAAAAAAAGAATACAGGTCAGCAAGATCTAAACTAGCCTTTTTCTTTGTTCCAGGTAAATTACCATTACGATAATCCTTCACCGAAAAAAAAAAAAAAACTAAAATGTATTTACCAAGCAGTGAGACTAATGGTTGATTATAGCCTTTGAATTCAAGAATTTGAACTGCTCCCACCCACCCTCCTCTTAACATTAACTGCTAAGAAGGATGGTTCCCAATCTCTTTGTGGCTCACCTGAATTTTGATCTATCCACTGTAGTGAATTCATGTGTGCATTCAAAATCTTGGCAATCTGTGCGATCTAAGAGAGTCAAAAACCACAATAGAAGAGGGAGTGTAGAGATAAAGCGCTGTTTTTGATTTTTGTTAAATTATTGTTTCTTTCAACATTACGACAATACCAATCAGCAATCACTTACAGGGTCATCTGAGTCCTGTTGCTGAGTATTTGCAGTATTAAGATGTTCAATGATTGATTTGAGATCTTGCACCATTTGCTTTAACTGTCCATCAACATCTTTAGCCAATTTGTACCTGATTGAGAAGAATTTGCACAGATCATGTTACAGGTAATGTTGTCACAAATTCATGCCAATCCTTCAGTGGCTGCCAAAGGTAAGTCACCAAGCTACTGACTAAAGCCTCAAATTCAGTACTCCAATTTTTTTTTCCAAACCACATCTTGAAGAACTGCCAGGTTTCATTCCAGTACATTTCATGATCTCCACCCCATCCGTTCATAAAAACACTGTAAGTTATAAACTGTGTTCTACTTACGTGAAGTCCCTCTCCTTATCAGCCTGCTGGAGTTGCCTGCTGCCCGAGTTGCTTGAACTTACAGCATCTTCCAATGGCTTCAACATTTCCTCCAGTTCTTGTTGTTGGGCCATAATAAAGTCCAACTCTTGATCAAGTCTAACAGTACATTTAATATTCTGGTGATTATTTCCAGAATTTGTGTTTACTTGTTACCTACTGGCTGAAGAATGCTGTAGATACTTATCAATAATCACATTTTGGATATTACAGGTTAATAACCAGATACTTTGCATTGACTACTGACTGAATCCCTCTAAGGCTTGTTTTGAACCACTGCCTCTTCCAACTTATTCTCCATCAAACCCTTGAGATTTTAATGAGTTGTAAATTGGAAAGCTGTAATATCCATGAGTTTCAAAAAGTTTTCATCCTACAATCCTTTCAGAATGTAACTTTCATCAGTAAGAGGACATTTTCTGCTGGTTGTCCAATTAATGTGTGAAAACTACATACTCACTTCCTTAAAGTCTGCAATACCTCAGCCTTACAGACAGCATACTAGTAACAAGTGTTCTCACTTATTTAAGCACAACAGGTAAAAGAAATATTCAAACTGGTTGATCAATCCTTTTACTTGTTCAATTTTTAAGAATTTCAAGCAATTTTAGGCTGTAAAAAGAGATAACCAGTGCTATGTGCTGTAAATTTTACCAGTTACTGCTTGAAAAGGAGAACACCTTGCAACTTACATTCTTTTGCCAATGTTTACCTTTTTTGTTCTGCTTTAACATTCTCCACACCAGCATTAAGCTCAGTGATCTAAAATGTCAGACACATAACATTTGAATACACAATCGTGTCATTCTCATTTCAAGTTATGGTGTTCACCAGACAGACAACTACTGCACTAACATAACAAACCAATAGCTTGTGACATCTTTGCTAATTCCTCTTCATGGGATGCCCTCTTGACAGTTTGTTAAATGGACTAACAGTCAGACACTACGAGAATTAACTATCTCATCTGAGAAACACCACGATGACAACCCAGGGCTTAACCTGTTAAAAGCATCTAATTTTTCCCAATAGTATCACCTCTAAATCAAACATTAAGTTCATGAAAATAAATGAAATGTTCGGAAACTCAAAAAGCTCTTGATTGTTAGACAAGATCTCCTTGCAAGCTCCATAGGAAATGTATAAAGAACAGTATGGAGAACTTGCATATTGATGTTAGGGTGTAAATGGCTAACGGCAGACTTTACCATTATGCTAACTGAAACATCTCTTTCACAGTCTGTTACATAGAGTTCTCAGAATTTAGAGTCCTGTAGAGAGACCCATTTAAAGCAATGCTGTAGTAATCGCATCTCTTGTCTAATAGTTTTGTGAGATAAACTACTACAGTGTATGTGTATCATTTTCACCTTTTCTCCATTTTCCATAAGAAGCCTATCCCATGAATTCACTTGTGCTGCCTGATCCAAAAACGTTTTTTCATAGTCTGCTAGTTCCAAAGCCCACTAAAAAAAATTTCAATATATATATAAATTATATGAAAACGCAATTGAGATATCTGGTTTAAATTAGTGGGCAAACAGTAATCTACATCACCCTCATTAATATAAAAACAACTATTTCACTAGGAACTATTGACAAACAACCAGAACAAAATAGAACAAATGAAATAACTCTTTGTTTTAGAGGCTTGAGAATGAAACCTGAAAGCTTTCCTTTCTATACAAAAAAATTTTAACCAAAGGATACCTGTTGATGTTACAGTGAAATAATTATCTTTTGTCCTGCAGATGGAGATAAAAGGCAAACTGATCCTTATAGGAAAACTAAAATTTAAAAAATTGTTGAAAGTGAAGCTTGGAAAAAATTTCAGCCTTTTAACCCTTTAAGTCCCCCTAGTGACCCAGACAGAATTTCTCCTTACACTATCAGTACAATATCAAGCAGACAAGTAATGAG